TCATTACTTTTTAAACAGACCATGTATATAGACATTTTGTGATCAAAGGTCCATGTTCGAAGTCCATATATACAACCATATACCATTTAGCCTTCAAGAGTTAGAATCTAAAACACTGTTTAAATTTTTTTAAAAAGTGTTGTACTACCTACTTTACTTGTGTGCCAAAATACAGCGCTGTAGCTCAAGCAGTTCTTGAGTTATAGACGTATGACATTTCGGGGCGCTACTATTCACAACACAGCAATCCAAATTTATGTTTCATTTGAACGACCCTTATAGTAAGAACACATTTCATTTCAATCTGCTTACGTTATGAGTTTTGTGTTACGTACTTGATTTCGTCTCTTAGTGAAGTTTCATTTATTTTCAAATATTTCCTCTCATGATATTATCACCATAAGGGGTTGCTGTCTTTATTATAGTATATTGCACCGTATATTTCACCTATTACCATATTATAAAACACTTTTCTATTCTTAAGTCCTTTCTTTTCTTCAAATTACAACATAGATTGCGTGAGCGAGAAATTTATCTCTAAAACTGTTGCACATTATTTTAGTGAAACATGTGTTACTTCTTACATGAGTACTTATTTCTTTTCGCCGGTAATATTCTTCGGTGAAATTATACTACGTAGCGTATAATAAAAAAATGCTAATACGCGTCGAAAATCGATAAGTTCGAACCCTTTACTGCATAATATTTATAATGGCGATAAAAGACTACGTATACTATAATAGACAAATGATAATGTTAGCAGGTACTTTTCTTATGATACCTACTAAAATATGTATAAATACCCTGGAAACATATCTTCGAAAAATCATACTAAAAACTTATATTTCCATGTTATATAGAACACTTTCTTATTCTTAAGTCCTTTCTTTTCTTTAAATTACAACATATACATTGCGTGAGCGAGAAATTTATCTCTAAAACTGTTGGATATCCTTTTAATGAAACATGTGTTACTTCTTACATGAATATTTATTTCTTTCCGCCGGTAATATTCTTCGGTGAAATTATACTACGCAACGTACAATAAAAAAATGCTGCTACGCGTTGAAAATCGATAAGTTCGAACCTTTTACTGCACAATATTCATAATAGCAATAAAAGACTACGTATACTATAATAGACAAATGATAATGTTAGCAGGTAATTTTCTTATGATACCTACTAAAATATCCATAAATACTCTGGAAACATATCTTCAGAAAATCATACTGAAATCTTACTATGCATGCATTTTCTAACTTTTTCGTAGAAAGAAAACGTTACCACTTATTGAATTTGAACACGCAAAGCGATCCGTCTCTCACATACATGCTTCATGATATGTATACCCCATGCCATATGCAAAAACGCAGGAATATATTACTTTACAGTAATGCCCCTTTATTACACCTTTTCATCATAAAATTGAAGCAAATTCGTGGATCATTTATTATGTATAGCGACAGAACTCGCGAAAGAACTGCTACACTTCATTTTCCATATTATCAACTTGCAATACGCCAACATACGTAGCACGTTGCAGTCATGGGAAGAAAAGTGACGCTAAAGGAAGTGATCGCCGTCGTAAAGTTAAGTTTGTTCCCAACTTGGTGTTGGCCTCAACCACAAGATGCGACACAATTTAAGATGCTCTGTGTGAAATTGTATCACTGTTTGTGCATAATTATGGATATGTCCGTAGCAGTACCGTTGATGTACACTATCACACTCTATCTTGACGAACCTGACATCTTAGTGAACGTAGTTATGATGACAAGCAGCTGTATTCACGGCAGTTTTAACTTTCTTTTCCATATGATTAATCACCATCACATACGGGTATTTAATGTTTATTTGTTTAATATTAAAAAATCCGCATGTAAATTAATTCAAAATTAATTTAAGACTTAGAATTTTATTACTAGATATATTCTGTATATCAATAACAAATATGTCAAGTAATTATTTGCAGAATGTTACTTATGAAATGGTACATTTTAGCGACTTGATGAAACCACATGAAGAAATTATAGTTCAACGACACATTGAGAAATGTGTGATGTACCATGGTGTATCTATATTTATTTACTACAGCATTACGTTCTTAGCTATCGCAGTGCCATTTTTAACGCAACAACAGTCATTTCCATTGTCAGCCGAATATCCATTTAATACGTCTTATCAACCGCTATTTACAATAATTTATATACAACAATCTGCGGCCGGAATATTGATATCAGCACAACTATGTACGAATGTTTTTATGGCTCTACTGCTCTGGTTTGCAACGGCAAGATTTGAGATACTCATTGAAGACCTGGGGAAAGTTACAAATGCCTGTCAGTTGTTCGAATGTATTAAAAGACATCAAAAATTACTCAAGTACGTATCACAATCCTTGTCTTATACGAAAGTAATCTAGTTTAGGGGACTCCAACCTTTATGGCCCGCAGGCCGGATTCGACCCTTGTAAGTTTTATCCGGCCCGCCAAAGAATTTCGACGTTATACAGAGTATACTTTACCAATTAATAAAGTTATTATCCGCTATAGGAGCTGTTCTGAATAGGTATGCTTTTTTCTTGTACAATAAATAACGTACAGATACTTCTTTATCAATACGCTACATGAACGTTACATATGTTACGTGTATTTACTGTAACTTTCTTGACAAAAATTTGTAAAATTCTTGGCAAACAAAATTAATCTTAATGAGTTTTGTTAAATTAAATCATATTCTTACAATTATCGTTACATATTAAGTCATATATAATTTAGCATAGAACTTTACCTTAATTCAAAAGTTAAAAAAGGACAAAGAGTGCAAATAGAAATTTCTTCGTAGAATACGACGAGCAAAACTAATCCTCTGCATATCAGTTTTTTGAAACAACTAGACACTACAGACGCGCGCGCTATTTAGCTTTAACTTTATGCTATTACTATTACACTATTAACTCCTTGATACACACAACTGTCAAAATATACAATGACAGCTGCAAATAAAGCGCAGCAAAAGAACCAATCGGCATCGCGGAAAAGCGACAACAATAAACTTCACATCTCCTTTTTAGAAGAGGAAGCAAAAAGAGGCACAATTTTCATATTATGGGGATAATGTTGCGTTTCTTTAACAGAAATTTACTATGTCTTTAACTAATTGCTTCGTTCCATCTATTTCTATAATGCAGAATTTTACATCTTTCGTTTTCTCGAAATTACGACATACAAAGGTTGCGTGAACGTGAAATTTATATGTATTCCTAAAATTGTGGTATATTATTTCAGTGAATCATATATTACTTTCTACATACTTACTTCCTATCGTGGGAAGGATATGCATCGATAAAATTATTATATGTAACGCACAAAGAAAGACAGGGAGAGAGAGAGAGAGAGAGAGAGTCCTACTGCAAGAGTTAAAATTCCCTGGAAAAAAACTTTTTATATAATTATCTGTAAAATATGTCGATAAATATATTTTCTTTCCCTTGTATAATCTCTATTCATATGTATAAGAAAAGTAATCAAAAGAATAATAAGAAAATAATTAGGCCTTTCTACGCTACTCGTGCTACAAAAATTTTTATAGAAAATATTGAAATTGTTAATATAACCCGAGCACGCTAAGTGTTTTTTGCGTAAATCTTAATAATTTTACTTTTTTTCTAAATTTTTCTAAAAAGATATTTTGTTGTTATATAATTTCCAAAAATAAAACTTATTTAGTCATTACAAAAGTGTTAATATGCTCTCTTGACAAAATAGATTGGGAAACCGCAAATTAATTTTAAAAAATTTAAGTGGTGTTGATGCACTTATTCAGGTACGCTGAAGAAGTTGCAATTTCTGCTCGTCCGTTCGCATTATCAACTCTGTATTGTAGCACGCTTTGCTTAATATGTATCTTTCTTGACCTTATCACAGTAAGTATATGTAACACATATCTATTATAAAAATCTAATATTTATATATTTTCTTCTGAATTTATGGATATATATGTATATAAATCTATCATGATTATCAAACATACTTAAAAAAAAAACAAGAATAGCCTCGAGATTATGTACGAGGGTGGTTTGATAAGTTTGATGTATGAGATAGCGTTATAACCCATTTGGAAAGTTCTACTCTTCAAACTTATCAAACAATCCTCGTATATCATCGAGGGTTGTTTGATAAATTTAGTAAAAAAGCAAGTATATTAAACATTTTTTGAAAAAAAAAAAATCGTTCTTTTTTTGTGGCAACTACTAAACCGCTCGCTTCAAACGACTACCAAACGTGAACAACGCGTCTGCACTTCTGGCTGAAACTTAGCCTGGGGGAGTTTGAAGAGTGGAATTTGCGGTCTGGAACTTTCCAGGCATCACATCACCAAATGGATTGTAACGCACGCCATATCTCATACAAATTTACCAAACTTATCAAATCACCATCCTACATGCAGTACATAATTATCATATACAATATATCATTATATTCTTCATTTACTTATTTTGATTAAAGTCAAGAATTTTAGTATCAAAGCGTAAGTTATAAAAATATCATGTATATTAAATTTTTGTAAAATAGGATCAACCTATAGCTAAAATGCTCCACTTTTTCACATTGTCTCTAGCAGCTTTATCGGAAGTATATATGTATAGTTGGCCAGCAGAATACTTGATGCATACGGTATATTACTTATCATTTAGAGGACCCTACACAGGTTTTATAGGTGTAAAAGTAGTTCCGGTCAAATTGGCTAAAATTGATATATGTTGTAGTTTATAGGTAAATCAAAAGTCCCCACGGGCAAAGTCCAAAAATCAAAACTATAGAAAATACGAAGGCTTAAAGTGAGTGCCATTGGAGTTTCAGAAATACTTGTTTTTGAATACATATAGTAATAAATTAATATATAAATGTTTGAAAATATATATAATATGTGCATGTGTGTGTACGTATATGCGTATGTGTGCGTGCGTGCGTGCGTGCGTGTGTGTGCGCGCATGCGCGCGCGTGTAAAAAAATAGTATGTGTATTTAGTTTAGATTATTGATAGCATAATAAAGAAGTCGAGATCTGTAACGTAGAGCAGGAAGTTGTTCATCTCTCTATATTCTGCCACTTTTACATCTATAAATTGTGCTAGGTCCTTTGTTATACTGCAATTAATTTTATTTAAAAAAGAATTTATTACTTTTATTACTTTTTTTCAGAGCAAATGCGTTGCAGAAACAGCGTTCCATATGCTCGAAAATAATCATTTCATTGAACTACGGAAATGTCTGCAAATTGTTATAATGCGAAGCCAAAAACCAATAGAGGTTACAATTCCTTGTCTTATGCCACCACTATCTCTCAATTCCTTTACAACGGTAAGAACAAGTTTCAAATTGATTAAAAAGTTGATTAAAGATTGTTAACATATCGTTTATAATAGTTAATCGTTTATAATAGTTAATTGGCATCATTACACACAATTCTACATTTTTACAAGTTTTCTATTAACATATTATTTTTTATCATTATTTATAATTTAAACTATAAAATAGTAAAAATGGTCTTTAACCATTAGAAACATGAATAAGTAAACCTATTTACTATTTATTTCCTTTCTTTTTTGCCATTTGTTTATTTTTATGCATTCTATATTTTTATTTGCGTGTGTGTCTATTTAACTAACAATAAGTCATTCATTTTTTTTATTCTACGTATGATTATAATCACACAGATATAAATGGCAAGAACATAAAACAAAAAATTGTAAAAAAAAATGAAAGGTCAAAGGTTAAAAAATATTTAGATTTGATTATACAATTCCTAATAATAGTATCTTTTAAATAATTTGTACATATTAATATAATATAATGTATGTTATATATAAAGATTATAACAATTAAGTGGTAGGTTTAATATACATTTTTTTACATAATTTCAAGACCGTCTTATCATTCCGTAATTAAAGTATTATTATTTTTTTAATTAAAAAACTATTTTGACATTGCTATAAAAAAGTCAGAATACTGTATTATTATTAATCTTTCTTACTAATTTATTCCTTTGTTAGTTTTTTATTCATAATTAATTCACTTAATTATTTATTAAAGAATTATTAACAGATGTAATAAATGTATGTATTTTTACTTAAAAATGCGTAAAGAATAATAGCACATACATTTTTATGTTTTATCAAAAACTTACTTTGTTGTATGTTACAGTATCTTTCAACTATACTCTCCTATTTTACAACACTGCGAGTAATGATGGACGAAGATAAAAATTAACAGTAAACTTAGTACGTTAAAAAAGTATCTTCCGACTATACTCTCCTATTTCACAACACTACGAGTAATAACGGACGATAATAAAAATCAACAATAAACTTAGTACGTTAAAATAGTTGATGTATTGATTAGTTAGTAAAATAGTATATAATAATTTTTCCAACAATTGTCACAGTAATATATTTATTAATTTCCATTATATGTGCTAATTTTTCATAAGACTCATAAAATATTTAATATTCACTAATTATAACATTAATCAATAAAATATAGCGATCAAATGATTTTGTCGTGTAATATGTTGCTCTCCATGTTCACGCAATATGCGCATTTTAAATTAATACAACACATTAATTCCAATAATATTATCGATATTAATCGATAATATTAATATCATTGTCGTATCCCTCTGGCCACAAAAATGATATATGTTTTACGATTCTGGCGAGGGATACTTTATTCCGGTCGCACTAATGTGTATATTTATCGCCAGTCCAGTGATTTGCATAAAATGTGCTATGTGATAATGTGATACATAAAGCATAAAGCGATATATGTAATGCATTTCCGATAGATAACCATATGTCTCTCTATTTATCTATCAGTAAAAAAAATTACCTTTTAAAAAAAGTAAAAAAAGGCGTCAAGTGTACACATAAAAAAATATTCACATAAAAAAAATGTTACTTTAATCTGTCAAAAAACTTGTTAAAGAATGTTACATGTTTAATTAATGTCAAATTATATACTTTAAAAATTTAACAAAAATAATAAAATAAAAGATCGGCGCAATGTCAACTCGATGTTGGTTTTGGAAATTAAAATATTTCTATTCATTTTAAAAAATTTAGTTCGATATTTCAAACTTTGCGGAAGTTAAAACTTACGTGGTCTGTTTAAAAAGTAACAAGACTGAATTTTTTTCTTAACAACTAGTAATACTGTAAAAACGAGACTGTGTACAGTAGATCGAGAGCTACATTCATACTCTACCTTCAGTTAAAATTTCAATTTGATAACATTAATACATGTGATTCTACAATCATTTGTATAACTGTATGTTTTGGCGACGCGTCACGAAAATGGAACATGTATTTTTTCTAATACAAATAATTGCAGAATCACATGTATTAATGTTATCAAATTGAAATTTTAATTGAACGTAGAGTATGAATGTAGCTCTCGATTTACTGCAGTCTCGTTTTTAGTGTTACTAGCTGTTGAGAAAAAAATTCAGTCTCATTACTTTTTAAACAGACTATGTATATAGACATTTTGTGATGAAAGGTCCATGTTCGAAGTCCGTATATATAGCCATATACCATTTAGCCTTTAAAGGTTAAAATCTAAAACACTGTTTGAATTTTTATAAAAAATCTAAAATGAGAAAGACTATTATACGAGCATTAATAGATGTTCCGGAAAATTCATATCTAATTTTTATATGTATTATTGTAACACATATATATTCCAACTATTCACTGTGCTCCGATCACAGCCGGACTTAATACACAGTTATCATTAGAACGTTATAAAAACCCTTCACTCCCCCCACAATTAATACATATAAAAATTAGATATGAATTTTCCGTAACATCTATTAATGCTCGTATAATGGTCTCTCTCATTATAGCCTTGCTTCAAACGAGCGAAAAATAAGTTTCTTATTGTTTTTATAAAAAGTGTACCTACTTTACTTGTGTGCCAAAATACAGCGCTGTAGCTCAAGCAGTTCTTGAGTTATAGACGTTTGAAATTTCGGAGCGCTACTATTCACGACACAGCAATCCCCCACACAATTAAAATTTATTAAAATTATTTTTTTATATTTTGCAAATTATGAAAATTATTTTTAAATAATGTAAAACTAATTGGTTGTAAAATAATTATCTAAATTATTTTAAAAATAAGATACTTATATATATAAGTATCAAAGATTATAAACGTTCTTGACGATTAATCGGGCCAAAATCAATGGTCGAATCGTCACGACGATAAAAATTATTGCCAGTCAGGCCGATTCGTACGTTAGTTATTATTTCGTACTGGCGAATTACAATTGCATTGAAATAAATTTAAATTTCTTAAAATTATAAAATACATTAATTTCTTTTTGTCGTTGAATCATCCCTCCCGCATCCCTACCTATGGTCCATATCTTTACCTATATACCCGATTTTTATCTAGTTTTAACCAGTATTTCTACCTACCTACATTAATAATATTCCTACCTACTCGTGTCTTTATCTAGTATTCCTATAGTCACGATCGCGACTATCGAAAATTAGAAAAGTCCGCGCGGATATCGTTTTAAATCGGAACCGTTTAGGAGTTTTTATGGGGAGTTTAATTTTTAATTTACGCGAAAAATTAATTCGGATTTAATTCAAATTTAGTTCGAGACGGCATTTTTCCGTCTCTGATTACGCGCAATCGCACGTATACAAGAAAACCTTACCATTACCATGTACCTTTTACAAATTGATTGATGTTATACACCAACCTACCTTGATCCTCTTCGTCTTCTTTCTTCTGGCCAGAGTACTTACCCTTTGTAGCACTTGGCCGTATTCTGACTTTATACAGTCAGATATCGCAAGGAACACTCCTTCTGCTGCCGGCTAATCATTGCCGACACTAAGCGTAAGGTTTTACGCTATTGTACGATGCGCGAAACACGAACGCGTCGTGAAGAGGCCATCACAATAATTAAATCAATTAAATACGAAATTAACAATTAACAACAACAATAATTTCATTAGCACATAATTTAATTTCGCATTTATAAATATATATCTAGTACTGAACTAAAATAAATATCCGATTGGAAACAAATTTAAATTTGAAAAAATTTTTTACGTCCACAATGTTTTAATTCGATCGCGATTATAAAATATATGTATACTAAACTTTTAAATATATAAACTGTATAATATGAACAATAAAATTTTAATTTAAAAATAAATGAATTGAATGAAAATTGCTAGACGCGCCATTCAACAGAATCTAAGGCCCATATGAGTATTTTCATCGATTCGAACGATTCGTTGCTGAATCTCATCTCAAAAGCATGCAGAGATGAGAAATTCAGATAAATGACGTAAGATCCGGAAAAAATAATAAATTTCCCCACACAATTAGAATTGATAAAAATATCATTATAATTTGTAAATTATTAAAATTATTTTTTGTATAATATATTATTTTACAATTATTTTAAGTGATGTAAACTGATTGACTCAAAAATTATCATTAAAGAAAATCTTCTATCTTATAACAAAATATATATTGGATCTCACGCCAATTACATTACTACTTTAACTAGTATAAAATCCAGTTATCAATCACTATACCTATATGAATAACCTACAACAATTTAGGCTAAAGTCAATGCGTTAATATATATATATATATAGTGTATATACACAATATATATCGCTCTTTTGCACTAACTTATATAAAGATTAACTCTGGATAAATATTTAGGAAAGGAATAGATAAAAAAAGGAATAATAGGAGTAATACAGTATTTGTTACACATACTGCCAAATTATTAAAAATATTGAATATTCGTTACATTTTTGAAATAAACATTTAATGATATTATAATTACAATATTGTTTATTTCAATTACTTTTTATTATTTACTATATTCTTTTATTTTCCATTTTGCACATATAAAACTATACAAATATTTTATACTTTTTATTTGTTGATCTCACGAGATATAAATACCATGTAAACTTAAATAAAAGCAGTAAATTAAAAAGATTATTGTATAATAGATTAATTGTATAATCTTTTACAAATATAAAATATAAAAAAAATAAAAGGTAGAAAACAAATAAAGGTTTAACAATTAAAATGTTAATTTTTTTTAATTTATACTGTTCTTATTTAAGTTTACCATCGTATTTATATCTCATGATCAACAAATAGAAAGTATAAAATATTTATATAATTTTTTATATGTATAAAATTATATAAATATTTTATACTTTCTATTTGTTGATCACGAGACATAAATACTATTAGTAAACTTAAATTAGAGCAATTAATTTAAAAAATTTAACATTTTAATTGTTAAACCTTTTTTTGTGTCTTCTACCTTTTATTTTCTTTATATTTTATATTTGTAAAAAATTATTTTATGAAATTTTTATACGAGTACATTCTCGTACGCAAAGTAAATTAATTAATAAATGCACAATAAATATAATAATAAAGAAGCATCCAGAATTAAACTTATCCTAATCTGTTGTAACTGACCCATTTTAAGGCAACGAATGTATAGAATGCTATATACTTATGTGTAAGATCTTTATATTGTTAACAAATTTCATACCTTTATCTAGATATATAGTATGTATATTTAATAAGTTACCATACATTCGTTACCTCAATAAATACATTAATTCATCACTCACCGACACCGATGCGCAATAGCGGAATTATATCTGCCACGTAGCTACGCTGATTCTGTAACATATAAATATAAAATTTATATTAAAATGGTGTTTAAAAAACTCCATGTTTTAAAACATAATTCCTATGGCATCAAACCTTTTAATTATTTTTCAGTTAGATATTTATTTAAATAATTATTTTCCTAAAATGATCTTTACAATAATGAGCTTTTATAAAACTTCAAATTACCACTTTCTTTCTAATTATTATTTCTAAATTATTGTGAAATAAAGCGATTCAAGAATAAACAGGAAAAAAATTGCTTTTACACAAATAAATAATATTTACCACAAAGTTGTTCCGCTGGTGCCCGATGCCTCTCCCAGGCCTCCTCCTCCTCTCAGGCTGTCCTCT